CAGCAGGAAGATGCGCTTCATCCACAGCTTGCAGGAACTGGCAGAGTTTGTTCCTGTGGCCCAGCTGCAAATCCCAGACTGCATCAGACAGTGAGTGTCCACATCAAGCCACAATAGTGCGCTGTCATTATTTCAAAACCTGGACTAAAAAGAAAATTCACATACATACATACAGAGAGAGAGAGAGATATAGATATATAATTTTTATTCATTTTAAAAATAAATTCTTTCCATAAATGGTTGTTTTATATTTGAGTCCAGCTTCTATAATCAAATCTTGTCATTTCTATATAAAAGAAATATGTATCGATCATTATTAATGTAAATTATTTAATGAGAAATGACCAGAAACGATGGGGGAAAAGAGAAAGAAATAGGGTAAGGAAATTATACAAGTTTGACTTAAACATATTACATTCACTGGTATCATGTTTTTCATTAAACAATTACATTTACTGATAAAATGTATTCGTAAAATAAATATTTATTGATCTTTTTAATGAAATGAATACATTTATGAATAGATCCTAATTATTACATTTAAAATATATTAATTGGATGTTTTCATAAAATAAATATTTTTGGATAATTTTAATGAATGCATTTCTTGAATACATTTGATTTTATTATTATTTTAAATAAACAAAAAGTATACCAGTGAAAGTGATATGTTTGTTTTATGAGACTTGTATAATTTCCTGACCACCTCGCTATTTCCCTATCATATCTAGTCTTTTCTCTGTAAATAATTTACATCAAATGTATCATTAAATGTGTAATTCATAAATAAATATGATCAATAAATCTAATTCTTTATTGTTTTGAATAAATGAAAAATGAGATACCACTGAAAGTGATATGCTTGAATCTAACTTGTATATTATTCACCTTGTTATCCTACCTGGGCTTTTTTTCTGTATATAAATGACATCAAAAAGTATCCATTGATATTGAAATATTTTCTAAATAGATTTTAGCTACATTTAATTCTTAATTGTTTTCACTAAATAAAAAGTGCTACCAGTGATGGAGATGGTTTGTTTTGTTCTGCAGGTATGATGAGCAGATGAACAGGTGAAGGTGTCTGATGGACAGACTTCACACTGGACTGGGGTGACATGCATGTGGCTGGGGTTAAAGGTCAAGCTTTAGGGCAAATGCCCTAATGACAGAAAAACAGCTTCCTACCAGACGACTCTTTGATGAAATACAAAAAGACAGTGTTGTGCTTCAGAGAGACAGAGCTGTGTCATGCCGTAAGGTGGGTCAGGAGAGTTCTGTGAGCAACATGAAAGCCTGTTTGACGTCATTGCATTTAAACTGTTACACAAAAACAGACAACCTTGTCATGTTTCCCAGACTGTAGAAAATGACATTCATTAATAACAATTACTTTTCATAAAACCTATTATATTTAGGCATGAGAAATACCAAATACTTATTTTGAAACATTTCCTTTTGGACTTACAGTGAACATACCCAAATTAGGATAAATATTAGTTTTAATACTTGCACTAAATGGTTACAAAATCTTGTTGTATGTTATCTGAAACCTGTATGAACCAAACTCTTCAAACTACTATCTGGCTGTTTTTATAAGTCTTTTAAAGTGGTATTGACTCTTATTCTATTCAAATTGTTTTTATATATTCTGTAAAATGCATTGTACTTGAGCATTTAATCACGTGTGAATGTTTTTAGCACAAATGCAGCAATGCTCAAACTTACTGCAAAATCAGAAAGCTATTACAAACAAAGTGTGTAATATTGCTGTAAGAAGCCGCATTGTTCAGTTTATACTTGTTGCAAATATAATCGTGCTTGGTTTTCTTCTGGAATATGGTTGGGAAATGTTCTCTAATGATCAGCTGCTGCTGCCTGTATAGTGGCCCATTGAATGTGCTTTCATTTAATAGACTCCTATGTGCAAATATTTATACAAGGCCACACCTGAACAACCTGAGCTTTCAAACTGCACATACTACATGTATGTCTTGTCTATGATATTTAAGGAAATAAAGGGTTACATTAAAACACCTGCTGTGATTTACTGTTGTGTTATGCTGTTAATTGTAATGAAGAAATACTGGGAGGGGATTTTGAATTTTTTTTTTATTGCGAGTCGCCATGGAGATATCCCTGCGCCTTTCAGGAAACCGGCTCTGGCAGAGGGAGGAAGTGAGGTAGCTGCATTGAAGTCACAAACAGGAGCAGAGCGAGAACTTCTGGGAGGTTAAATAACAGATTCCTGTTGTAATGCTTTATGTGCCAGATGTTGGGTTATGCAAGTCAATAATGTTTAGTAGAAACTAAAGTTCATGTCTTGTATTTTGTCTAAGCGAATAATTCTCTTATATAAATGAATCAACTACAGAATGGTAATTTAACATAATAGTACTTCAGCACTGATTTTCAGACTCATCTATTGAATGCACAACAGAATGAAACAACATAAAATCTATGCATTAATATTCAATGCAAAAAAAACAAAACTTTTTCTTATATTCCTGGGTACTATAACACCCTATTCTAAATAAGGCAAATAATCTATATATGTATTTACAGGTGCATCTCAATAAATTAGAATGTCGTGGAAAAGTTCATTTATTTCAGTAATTCAACTCAAATTGTGAAACTCGTGTATTAAATAAATTCAATGCACACAGACTGAAGTAGTTTAAGTCTTTGGTTCTTTTAATTGTGATGATTTTGGCTCACATTTAAACGGGTGCAGTGACGTTGGTTTTCAAAAAACACAATGGACCAACACCAGCAGATGACATTGCACCCCAAATCATCACAAACTGTGGAAACTTAACACTGGACTTCAAGCAACTTGGGCTATGAGCTTCTCCACCCTTCCTCCAGACTCTAGGACCTTGGTTTCCAAATGAAATACAAAACTTGCTCTCATCTGAAAAGAGTTTTTTTATTATATATATATATATAACTTTTTTTTAATAATTATTTAAAGAAATATGTTAAAAACGGATATTGACATTGATATTGAGTTTGCTGTGAAACCTTGTATATTCTATACCTTGTATTTATTATCAAATGAACTTCGGATAAATTTCTCTTTAGAATCTGTGGCATCTATTGCATTTATTTTGTATCCTATCTTTTTAATAAAATTGAGAAAATTATATCCTTTATGAATTTCTGAATGAGACAATGGATGTTTGAATGAGGTGTTTGAGTGACATGTTTAGTAAATATAAGCAACTGAAATATCACAATTAGTCTGTGATGGCCTGCGTTACTGTTTTTCAAGCCATTGTGAGAAAAAGGAAATTAAAATGCAACATGCTCTGTACCGGTCTGAGACCTAAATAATCTTCGTGCCAAAGGTTCATTGTTTGTTTTTGTAGGGGTCTTGTGCAACCTTTCACGCAGTGCTCCATGAGCTGCTTTACTAACGGCTGTTACAGTAGATGTTAAAACATGCTTTAGGGATCAGCTTTGATTTCTTAGCCCATAAATTTAAGGTTTACATTTGTACAAACACGAATGGCAAGGAAAACAAAACACCAAGTCAAGGCACAGCCCTGAGCCCTCACTAAATGCCCTTAATATATTTACAGTAATAAGAAAATCCTGTTGAAATCCTTATTTATTGTATTAGCTATGCTCCTTTTTGCAGCCATGGACATTTATGGAAGTTTGTTTCTGCCATGGAATAAAAAATTAAAGGTAATTTCAACTTTTTTTGTGAGATAAAAAGTCGCAATTATCTTTTTTTTCTGTAGCAGGAAGAAAAACCAGAACTGCGATATGTACGTGTGTCAGAGTTTACATCTTACAACTGACTTTTTTTCCTCAAAACTGAATTAGAAAATTATAGTTTTTATTAAAGTCATGCAGACACAAAGCAAAGAGCAAAGTAAAATAATGTCACATTTTTTTTTTATATATAAACTTGTTTATCAACCTTTCTCAAATTATCTCAAGAGCATTTTTGAAAATAAACGTTAGATAATATTACTGTGCGTGTCTCAATAAAAACCCAACAGACTGCTCTTTGTACAACTGTATTGTTACGAACCAAAGCACAACAAAAACATTCATCAACATAACACCATGCCATATGAACAGAACACTATTACTGCTCCCATTTGATCACAAAATCAATCAGTTGGACTAATAGACTAAAAGACGTTTATAAAAAAAATAAAAAAGTAAAGAATAATAAAAGTATTAAAGACAAAAAGAGCCTAATGAGTGCTTTGCACAAACATTATGGCTTTAAAAAAAATAAGACAGATGCTTAAAAAATGGGCAAACAGTCACATAAAACCAAAAAGTGAGAAAATCTGCAAGCAACATGTATAATTAAGTTAAGGGAGCTGTCGTGATCTTTGGCGGAGATGCAAACATCTGCATGTTTCTCTATACTGTCAGCTAAGAATGAAATGCATTCCCACTAAAAAAATACTCTAAAACATTCAAAAGCAACATGCACAATCTGAAAGCATTCGCTACGCACATTTTTTCCTATGACATTTCCCAACAAATTACAGCAAACACAAAGTAAATTAGTTTGGGATCTTGCACAGCAATGCCTTTGAAATAAAACATCACAATTCTAAGCAAAAACATCGTGTTTAACATTTCAGCCCAACTTTGTGCTACATTGAGCGGCATTCAAAAACAAAGTACAGAGTAAAGTATACAAAGTGTGTGTGTGTGTGTGTGTGTAAATCAGTGATTTAATCATGGTGCCGTGTGTGAGGACTGGAAACAGAGAGCGTGTGTTTGAGCTGGTGTGGGGTGGAGCCAAAAAGTGAGAAAATCTGCAAGAAACATGCATAATTAAGTTAAGGGAGCTGTCGAGGTCTTCGGCTGAGATGCAAACATCTGCACCTTTCTCTACACTGTCAGCTAAGAATGAAATGCAAAAAATACGCAAAAACACTGGATTTCTAAAGCAACATGCACATTCTGAAAGCTTTCTCTACGCACATTTTTTCCTATGACATTCCCTAACAAATTACAGCAAACACAAAGTAAATTACAGTTTGGGATCTTGCAAAGCAATGCATTCAAAATAAAACATCACAATTACAAGCAAAAACATTGTGTTTAACATTTCAGCCCAACATTGTGCTACACTGAGCTGCATTCAAAAACAAAGTTCAGAGTAAAGTATACAAAGTGTGTGAAACAGTGATTTAAACGTGGTGCCGTGTGAGGACTGGAAACAGAGAGTGTGTGTTTGAGCTTGTGTGTGGGGTGGAGCTTGATGTGTGAAAGTGAGACTAAATGTGGTTTCAATGATAAAGGGCAGTGGCTCGCTACTGGCAGGAAGCCACCGTTCAAAGTCTCCACTCAGATAAACAGATAATAGCCTTTTTCTAATACTTAGGGATTAAAGGAATAATTAACCTAAAAAAATTATTTACTCAACCTTACATCCTTCCAGACTTAAATGCAGTTATTTTTTTTACAGTGGAGAATTTTTGAAGAATTTTCATGCAGTTTTTTTCAATACAACAACAATTCAGTGCCTGTTAGTTGCTCCCCCACCCCAAAAAATAAAAATAAGCACAAAATATGGTCCACAAAAGTCATTTTATATTCCAAGTCACCTGAAGCCCTATGATCGCTTCCCAAATTATCGACTCAATGTTCCTGTAGCATGTAATTCTCAAGATAAGAGTTCACTTGAGGGGACGATAATCAATGAATAATGACACATTTGGTCTGTTCCTCACATAGAGCAAATGGAAAACTTCAGAAAACTTGGAATATGGGCCACTTTTCAATATTTTTATTTTACAGCTTAAACATTATGTCAATCCGCATTGATGTTGTACTGAAAATCACTGTATGAAAATGTATAATTTTTTCCCCACAGATAAAAGAAACTTATATGGGTTTGGAATGACTTGAAGGTGAATAAATTAGTATTTTTTAAACTATTCCTTTATAGTTATAAAGGCCATTATTTGTTAATGCAATATCAGACATGTGGAAATAAAAAAAAAAGCCATATTTTCATACTATATTCATCTTCTATACACATACCGGATTGCTTTGTATAATGCACTAATTTGTGCAACTGCTAATGCAAGCAGTTGGAGACACTATAATGGTATTGGTGCACATACATTTCCATTACAAAACAAAAGCAAACATACACTTGCGCACATCCTTATCAATGACAGACTGTGACAAACATGCCAGTTATAACTTTGGGAAGGCAGTCAAATGGTCCCCGGTGTTAAAGCGATAAGAGCCTTTCCTCTTCCACAGCAAGCACAGCCAGTGTCTCAAATGCACACGGCACACATTCACACTCTTTGTCAGGCGTTCTCATACAATCCGGTCCAAACTTAATAACAGTCTTAGAGTGTGTGTGGGGGGGGGGTTAAACGTCTCCTCTGAGACATTCCAGAGGATCCAAAACATAAGAAACCTGCAGAGGTGGCATCCATATTGGTAGCTGCAGCAAGGAGGTTGTCGTTTTGATGATCAGGATCTGCTCTTTATCTCCTCCTCAATGGTGCAGTGCTGCTAGCTGCACAGCTTCTGCTGAGGACACTCTACGGGGCTTCGGGTAAAAAAACAAAAAAGCCTGGGGAACAGATGAGGGTCTGTGGTTAAAACGGAGTGAAAGCGAGAGGATGGAGAAGAAGAGGAAGGTGTGTGAGTGTTCATACTCACAGGTAAAGAGGCTATAACAAGCTGTTTCGTCCATTAGCGTGAGGCACTTTGGATCTCATTTGTTCCTGCATTGGGCCAGACTGCAAAAGGAAGTGACACAATCAGGTTATTGGCATGGAAAACATGCATAATCATTAACATCAAGTCCACTTTAACAAACACAACTATACTTTTAGTAGCACAGTAAGTTTTCCATTTATATGATCTAAGTCTTAAAGTAGTCATAAAGTGAAAATTTCTCTCTTCAAGTGAGGCCAAAGAATCTGATATACTAAAAAAAAACTGTTACATTCAGACTTCAAAACTTCCTCCCGAGTCAACCAAAAGAGCATTTATTGAATGTTACTGCTATTTAAGAAGCATTAAATTA